TTCGACACCGATGTTACTTAAGTGGATCATGACATTTCAGACGTCGTCACCCTCTTCAATGACGCCCTACGCCTGCTGCTACGTCTGCGACAACTACGTAGGCAACCAAGAGAGCCGTCGCCAACGGTGCCCAGTGCCGGACAACCACCAGATTCGAACGGGGTACTGGCGTGGCAAACTAGGCTAAACCTAAATCAGACACTGTGCAACCAGTTAAAGGTTAAATAGACACGTCTGCTTCTCTCTCTACTTCAGTGGCGCCCTATCGACCTATCTATTTCTCTCTCGCTGGTCAGTTTCAGCGCAAATCGTCGCAGTTTGACGCCGCACCAGATTCCTGGACAGCAACGACTCGAGGAATCGCTGATCATTCCCAAATTTTCACGGTTCAGCTCAAGCCAGTCTTTTTTCCTTCGGGGCAGTCACGTCGGAGGGAATCCTCCCCTTGGGGAGCCGACGTGGTCGAAGATCTGACGCGGGCACGCTGCACTCGCAGTCGCGGGTGTGGGCGTAGGAGACCGACGGGTCGCGCAAGCGGCCCTAGCAGGGGTGTTTTACGGACTGGAGGCGTACCCCGCGCCACGTGTCGCCGCTGCGGCGAGCGCACACTCCACGTCAAGGGGCCGCGCAAGCGGCTGAAGGGGGCCACCATCGCAGATGGTTGAGCTCCTCGGAGAGACATATGGCGGGTTGGCGTTCTCCACGCCACGCAGTCACTTCGGTGATCGCACTCCACGTCGGGGGCCGCGCAAGCGGCTGAAGGGGGCCACCATCGCAGATGGTTGAGCTCCTCGGAGAGATAGACGGCGGGTTGGCGTTCTCCACGCCACGCAGTCTCTTCGGTGATCGCACTCCACGTCGGGGGCCGCGCAAGCGGCTGAAGGGAGCCACCATCGCAGATGGTTGAGCTCCTCGGAGAGATATATGGCGGGGTGGCGTTCTCCACGCCACGCAGTCACTTCGGTGATCGCACTCCACGTCGGGGGCCGCGCAAGCGGCTGAAGGGAGCCACCATCGCAGATGGTTGAGCTCCTCGGAGAGATATATGGCGGGGTGGCGTTCTCCACGCCACGCAGTCACTTCGGTGATCGCACTCCACGTCGGGGGCCGCGCAAGCGGCTGAAGGGGGCCACCATCGCAGATGGTTGAGCTCCTCGGAGAGATATATGGCGGGGTGGCGTTCTCCACGCCACGCAGTCACTTCGGTGATCGCACTCCACGTCGGGGGCCGCGCAAGCGGCTGAAGGGAGCCACCATCGCAGATGGTTGAGCTCCTCGGAGAGATATATGGCGGGGTGGCGTTCTCCACGCCACGCAGTCACTTCGGTGATCGCACTCCACGTCGGGGGCCGCGCAAGCGGCTGAAGGGAGCCACCATCGCAGATGGTTGAGCTCCTCGGAGAGATATATGGCGGGGTGGCGTTCTCCACGCCACGCAGTCACTTCGGTGATCGCACTCCACGTCGGGGGGCCGCGCAAGCGGCTGAAGGGGGCCACCATCGCAGATGGTTGAGCTCCTCGGAGAGATAGACGGCGGGTTGGCGTTCTCCACGCCACGCAGTCACTTCGGTGATCGCACTCCACGTCGGGGGCCGCGCAAGCGGCTGAAGGGAGCCACCATCGCAGATGGTTGAGCTCCTCGGAGAGATATATGGCGGGGTGGCGTTCTCCACGCCACGCAGTCACTTCGGTGATCGCACTCCACGTCGGGGGCCGCGCAAGCGGCTGAAGGGAGCCACCATCGCAGATGGTTGAGCTCCTCGGAGAGATATATGGCGGGGTGGCGTTCTCCACGCCACGCAGTCACTTCGGTGATCGCACTCCACGTCGGGGGCCGCGCAAGCGGCTGAAGGGAGCCACCATCGCAGATGGTTGAGCTCCTCGGAGAGACATATGGCGGGTTGGCGTTCTCCACGCCACGCAGTCACTTCGGTGTTCGCACTCCACGTCGGGGGCCGCGCAAGCGGTCCTAAAGGGGTTTGTTGCCTTATATGGCAGCATACCCGCGTTGTACGTGCTGCCGCTCCGGCGGTACGCATGTCCCCAGTCTACTTGGTCGCGCCAGCGGTCATGATTGACTCGTAGTTGGCTTCGGTAGGAGGGTCTCTGACCTCGTTGCCGTCGCCCCTGGCTCTACGGAGCCCTTTAGTTGTCGACCCGATACCCGGGCCGTACTTCTTGTCACACTTATCAGTCGTTAGTTATCATAATAATGGACGTACTTGACACCACCACCAGATTCCTGGACAGCAACGACTCGAGGAATCGCTGATCATTCCCAAATTTTCACGGTTCAGCTCAAGCCAGTCTTTTTCCTTCGGGGCAGTCACGTCGGAGGGAATCCTCCCCTTGGGGAGCCGACGTGGTCGAAGATCTGACGCGGGCACGCTGCACTCGCAGTCGCGGGTGTGGGCGTAGGAGACCGACGGGTCGCGCAAGCGGCCCTAGCAGGGGTGTTTTACGGACTGGAGGCGTACCCCGCGCCACGTGTCGCCGCTGCGGCGAGCGCACACTCCACGTCAAGGGGCCGCGCAAGCGGCTGAAGGGGGCCACCATCGCAGATGGTTGAGCTCCTCGGAGAGATATACGGCGGGTTGGCGTTCTCCACGCCACGCAGTCACTTCGGTGATCGCACTCCACGTCGGGGGCCGCGCAAGCGGCTGAAGGGGGCCACCATCGCAGATGGTTGAGCTCCTCGGAGAGATAGACGGCGGGTTGGCGTTCTCCACGCCACGCAGTCACTTCGGTGATCGCACTCCACGTCGGGGGCCGCGCAAGCGGCTGAAGGGGGCCACCATCGCAGATGGTTGAGCTCCTCGGAGAGATATATGGCGGGTTGGCGTTCTCCACGCAACGCAGTCACTTCGGTGTTCGCACTCCACGTCGGGGGCCGCGCAAGCGGTCCTAAAGGGGTTTGTTGCCTTATATGGCAGCATACCCGCGTTGTACGTGCTGCCGCTCCGGCGGTACGCATGTCCCCAGCCTACTTGGTCGCGCCACCGGTCATGATTGACTCGTAGTTGGCTTCGGTAGGAGGGTCTCTGACCTCGTTGCCGTCGCCCCTGGCTCTACGGAGCCCTTTAGTTGTCGACCCGATACCCGGGCCATACTTCTTGTCACACTTATCAGTCGTTAGTTATCATAATAATGGACGTACTTGACACCACCACCACGACTCGAGGAATCGCTGATCCTGGGTTGGGTCGAGTTCCACAAAAACATCCAGCGTGTGTGACACCATTTGCCGCGCACGACTTTGTGCCAGTGATGGCTGGTCGGTAGTAGCTGTGTCATCGAATGCACCAATCTATATGTCGCAATGTAGAGACCAAATATCATGGGCTACAATACAGGTGAGAGAGCTACATTCGGAGCGGCAATATTGACTTGGCCTCCGTAAGGAATGAGGAGCTGGCTACTTGCATAAGAGACAGTTGCTCGAAATCTTTCTACAGCGTTCTCGCCCGAGCGAAGGATGCGCATAGCTGCACAGAAGCAGTATTCGGACAAAAGTTTCCCGCGGGCTTTCTGCGCTCACACTTATGTCCACTCACATTGGCGTAACATGATGGAACGACCATTTCAATGAGTGACCACGCGTCTGGTCGAAACGTCGCCAGGACAATGACTGGCAGTGAGCGACCTGTTCTACAACCGCGACGCAGACCGTCTCGTTTGGACTCCTCGTGGTGTCGGCTGACGTGATGCAGGCTATCTGCGGCAGCAGCTGCATCGAAGCATTTCGTCTGGGTCGCTACCACGCCGCTTGATTCATTATTCAATTTGCGCACCACAAGCTCCTGTCCCACGTCGGCCATTCCTTCCTAGCTCTACCATGCGGATCGCCTGCCTCCGTGCACTCTGCGTCAGTGCTGCACTGCTCTTCAGTGCGGTGTGCGCCGCGGACCTGCCCGGGACGAAGGTCTCGTCACCTGACGCTGCTGATCCCGAAAAAGCCCCATCTCAACGACTGTGGGTAGCCGAAGCTGCGGACAAAAACACGGGTGATGAGCGCATGATTGATCCATCGAGAGCCTTGGATCTCGCGTTTGAATTTGCGAAAGGTATGGGCAAGCATGACATGAAGCACATACTAACGTCGACACACAACTCAAATGAGGTGGAAGGCATCGGGAATCAACTGGAGAACCTCTCTATCTCCGGATACATTTCTCCCGAAGCCGCCGCCCGTGCTAAACATGCTAAAGCTTTTAAGAACTTAGTGGAGGTTGGATACACTCCCCCGCTTTACGCAATAGAGCTGGTCTCACCCACAACCCATTTGACGGTCATATATAATCGAGAGGGTAGATACGTTTCCAGTATTGTCGCTGATCCCAATGCACCGAAAGTGTAATTGGAATCGGCGACGAGTAGCCGTTCGGCATGTTCTTCGAGGATATTACAACTGCCGACGACATGTGCATGCTTCGGTCGGGATCGGTCACTCCTACCATTCGTTCTCCAGCGGAAGACCTTCCCAAGACGCCATATAGCCGACAACAGCGAGTACTTTGACAAGCCGGAAGGAGCTCCTGAGAAGAACCAGTAGGCTAGCGTGTTAGTGACCACAAGACGTGAATGACTTGTGCTGTTCTTTGTTGTGCTAGTTCATACGATAGAGTACATGGTCTTGGCATGTTGTCTTCGCCTGCACTTTCATCGATTCTGCTTGTAACTGAAGCCCCGTGCATTGAGGCCATGGTACAGCGTGTCGCAGCTTCGACCTCCACAGGCATTCATCTCCCTTGAATTTGCCCACTCGACGGATGGAGTAGACATCGCATCGCTGGCGCGGAAAATAGGTCGTGCAAGCGCGCGTCACTGCCGCGGCAAAGGCAAAATGAGTCAACCCTCGGAGATCCGTACTTGCCGTCGTGTACGAGCATTTGTCGAAAGTGACCCATGCTCGATTGTACTGTAGATGGAAGCATCTCCTCGACGTGCACATCGAGGCACGCACAGCGTGGCTCGCTGTCTCCACAGGGCCGACCCGTTGCCTACAACCGCGACACATCATCCTCCGGCCCCGACACCTCAACCTTCTCGTCGTATCGCGACGCGTCCTGTCGTGCCGTCCCTTGCCGCTTCCAGTCCACCGCACGTGGTCTCTTCTTGTACTCCGTGCTTTTCGTGCGCGGACACAAGCGGCCGCTCGCCGTGCGCTGCTGATTTCGTCGGTGATTCTTTGTAGACCTCAGAGACGCTACCGCCACGTCTTGCGGCTCCATCATGAGACACGGGTCCATGCGCAACAGATGATGTTCCTCGTCCCATAACGTCTCGTCCTTGGTCGTGCGTGTAGCCATGTGCTCGCCACCTCGTTGCTGCTCGCCTTCGGGCCTTTCAACACTGCGTGGACTCGAGAATTCATGCACCGGTCGATCGCTGCAGTTTTCCGTCGCTTCTGCTTCGTCGCCTTGTCACAGTGTGGACAGCTCTATCCGGATGGCTTCAGCTCTCACCCGATGAAAGGTCTGCGAGGGCCATTTCAACAAAGGCGAAGCTCCGAGAGCTCATTCCGATCTCAACCCTCGACGTCAATCTCCTCTGGCTGCCTGCACGAACACGAGCTACACAAGCGCAAGCGTCTACCAGTCCTTCTGGTGTCGTCCTTCTGCCGTCCTTCTCCAGCTTCCGTCGGCCACGCCTGCGACGTCAGCTGGACCAAGTGAGTAGCCCACCGCTAGTACAACTGCTGGAAAACAGACACATCCTTGTTCGTTCTCGTTCGTCTCTTCACTGTCTGTGTCGTCCTCGTCTCAGACGTCCTCCTCGTTCTTTTTCTTGTGTGGTCGTCGTCCTGCGCACCGAGGCGCCGAGACGCAAAGATGGCCGCTGATCCGTGGTCAGAGGATCGGCGGCCACCTTTGCGTCTGGTCTTTAGGCCACTTAACGCTGTTGCTCTCTCCAGCACGCTGTTCAACCGACCCCGGTGGCCGAGTAAAAAGGCACTGGCCCCGGGACACGGAGGTACGTGGTTCTACGCGTGTTCGTGCAGCGTGGCAGCGTTGGGGGCATGCAGTACTTGGCATGGCCAGCATTGAATCCAGCGAGTCACGATTTGCCACAGGGCCCAATCTCCACTTACGGGTGGCGAAGCACCCGCCTAAGCGCCGACGCCCGCCACGAGAAGGGCCGATACGATACGATGCGAGCAATGGGTTGCGACGAGGCACTCATTGGTACGCTGAGTGCATAATGGCTTTGCGCTGCTTTTCCCTCGTGCAAACGGAGTTGAAGTTATGCTGATCAGCTCATCGAACTGACGCTGGGAATCGGACCTGTGTGTGTTTAGCCGCTCTCACTCGTTCGTGGTGAAACGCTGAGGGGTTTGTCTCGTTACTCGCGGTGTGGCATGAGGAGGTACTGCTGTTCCCGCACGATGTGTCTATCGACCAAAAACTTTTGTACTACTGTGCGTTGTTGGACAAGTGAACGCTATAAATGTAACGGGGCAGCCTGTTACATGGAATTGTCACTTTAAGAAAAGTGACAATAAAGAATATGAAGTTGAATATTCTTTGTACAATATCACCAAAGTGGTGATATTGAAGGGTCGACCAAAGCGTCCGCTCATTGGTTGATATCTTGATGATATCAACCCACCAATCGCCGCAAGACGCGCGTAATGAGTGGTGACGAGACGTCACCATACACTCAGTTATATTAGTATAGTTAAGCTAAGTCAAACAGAGAGACAGTAGTTAAAGACTTAATTATATTAATATAACAGTTCTGCTTTTACCTTACCGACGCTCTCTCGCTTGCCTTGTGTACGTCTGTCGGGGCACTCGATACCCTTGCGTTAAGTTCACGCAAGGGTGTGCCCCGTTACACCTGGTAGCACTTTGTAGTCCTTCCAAGGACCACAACATCCAACATGAACATGGTGGATGAAGAAGATACCTTTCACGCCACGCGTGAAGGTTTTACCCATTTGAGTGACATCGAATGGTGTGCGATAGAACGAATGAGTTCTACCGTAGGCGAACTCACCATTAGCGCCATGTTGGAGTCTCTAGACAGAGACCAACAGCATGCCGCTATAGCCAAGTTCATTCAGAATGAACTTGTCGCCGAAAGGGGAGAAAGTAGCCTTGCTTCACCAGCAAGGCTCTCAACAGGCCGAGTAGTTGAGAGAACTCGGTGCTCAACAGACAGAGCTGTTGAGATAGCAGCAATTCCATGCTGCTGTGGGCGGGACGGCGCATGCGCGTCGTCCCGAAGTCATGAAAGTTGACATCTCCAAGTACAGTGGAGTCCCGGAGGACTCCCTGTTACTGTGGTTTTCGAAATCGACAGAGCCTTAAGGGCTCGTCGCGTCGAAGATGAGCAAATGAAACTAAACTTACTTGGCAGGACATGCCAAAGCTTGGTCCCTGGGGTTCGAGAGTAGCGACCCACATGTGCTTAGGTCGCTAGATGACTTCAAGTCCCGGCTCAGACAAACGTTTGAGCTGCCACGGGCTGAGTTCAGGGCTCGTTCAGAGCTCCTGAAACTCAAGCAGGGTAAGCGTGATGTGCACGCTTACGCACAACATATACGACTCCTTGCGAGTAGTATAAATGCTAACCCAGTACATGAACACACGTTGGTTACGGTGTTCATGCAAGGGCTCGCAGAAGGGCCCGTCAGGAGCCACCTGTTCCGCCTTGAGCTGAATACGCTGGAAGATGCGATATCAGCCGCGGAACAGGAAGACTTTAGCATGAGACAGGCTCATGCTAGCTCAAACTCTTATCGTCCACCGAGACGACAAGAGATCGGAGGTCCAGAACCAATGGACCTCTGCTATGTTGAGAGCGAGAGACCTCGCTCTTCAAACAACAACCGATTGCAGAGGTGCAATCGCTGTCAGAAGTTAGGGCACTACGCATACGAGTGTAGAGCTCCACGCCCAGTACCAAACAGTACTGAGCGAAATGGACGACCATTTGCCAGAAAGGGCAATAGGCGTGGGTCCAGCACTGTTGCGGTTCCGCAACAGCGAGACGGACCATCAAAAAATGGTCGGGGTTAGTAGGGGCGGAGCACTCTACTGATCCATCAACCTCAAGAGAATTTGCAAATCTCTTGACGAAAGTTGCTCCAGATACACAATCATTGTGTGTCTCTGCACCTGGTGATGACTTTTCGCTCATCACCTTGAAGTTGGAAGCGACAAATGATTTGTCGCTGCGTGCCCTAGTAGATTGTGGGGCGTCGAACAACTTTGTTCGACGCCGGTCACTAGAGGGTCGTAGGCTCAAGTTCGTTGAGCGCGACATTCCCCTCACAAGGATGACGGTGCGCCTTGCAACAGGCGCATCGATAACCGTTGAGAAACGTGTAGTAGGAATCCACTACACGTTAGAGGGCGAACAGTACGATGATGACTTCATCGTACTAGATCTGGATGACAAATTTGATGTCATCCTGGGATTACCTTGGCTCAGAAAGTACGAGCCAAAGGTGATCTGGCAGCATCGATCCGTGAAGATGCCTGCCGCTTGTTCATCAGATGGCCATCTGATGAACATCTTGGAGCGTCCACAAGCGTGTGGATGTTCTGCGAGTGAGTGCGATGGCCTCACTTTCGGTACGGTCGTTAGCACGACTGCACAAGATAGTTGATCACTACACTATGGAACAAGCTCCCGGCGACTGTACAGAAGTACAGGCTGCGCCGAAGGTCCACCACTCAAATAAGTCGAGTGGACCGGGACATAGATGCATGCCAAGCGGGCAGCATCTTAGAAGAAAGAAACCTGTTGCCCCCAAGGGGCAACACGAACATCCTAGGTCGACTGGAGAGTCGACCGTAGAGGACCGGTGCCTGACTGTGGTTGCACAGCCACAGTCGGAAGACGTCGAGGGAATAAGTCCTCACGTACTTGAGGAAGGAATTCCTCAAGAGTTCCTTGCTGAGGGATCAGGCCCTCAGCAACCTGTGGAAGAAAGTTCCCAGGAAGAAACCGAGACGTTGAACGTCTTGGTTAATGACGGATCAAGCGTAGTCGCTTATACGCTTGATCTGATTGTGCCTCCGAAGTTAACTTCGGAGATAACTCAGTTGCCAACGCTAGAACCGAAAAGGTTCTTGCGTGATCTGCGTAGTGGCAAAGTCAAGCAGATCTGCATACTCGTCACGGAGGATGAGTATGTGGCCGATATTCGGTCGGCAACAGTATATGCTGAGAACGAACGGGTTCTCAGCAGCTCATCACTGGACGAAAGTGTCCTCGATGAGAAGACTCGGATTGAGCGATACGCGTCTCAATCCTGGGATTCACTTCAGGCAAATCCTTTGTGTAAGGATTTGATCGAATTCAGGGATGTGTTCCCTGAATCCGTACCTTGCGAGTTGCCTAAGGACAAAGACACTCGACACGAGATCGAGCTCAAACCGGGCTCGAAGTATTGTGTCATGAAGCAGTGGCCACTGCCTCGTGAACAAGTACTAGCGATCGACAAGCTCTTTGCCGATCGCTTAGCAGCGGGCCATGTGAGGGAATCAACATCCCCTCACAGCTCTCCGACCTTCTGTGTGCGAAAGGCCACAGGAGGGTGGCGGATAGTGCACGCATTCAACAAGTTGAATGCTGCAACGGTACCGGCTCAGACGCCGATACCGAGGAAGGACGTAATCATAGATGGTATGTCAAAGAGTACCATCTTTTCGTCCATGGATCTGATGGATGGATTCTATCAGATCCTTATGCGTGAACGGGACATCCCGTTCACGGCAGTGATTGCCCCCAGCGGGATGCTGTGGGAGTGGCTAGTGATGCCACAGGGGCTGAGTAATGCCCCTGCAACATTCAACAGATGTGTCACAAATCTGTTGAGACCGGTGAGAGACTTCGCAACGAGTTACTTCGACGATGTGTTCGTCCATAGCCCGGCTATGGACGGAAAGACGGACGTTGAAGTTCACAGAACTCACGTTCGTCAGGTTCGTCAACTTATTCGCAAGCATAATTTGTATGCCAAATTCAAGAAGTGTATATTCGCGGCTAGGCGAAATACCACCTCTTCGGTGCATCATGGGTAAACACGGCGTACGCCCTGATCCCGAGAAGATCAAGGCGATTACCGACTGGCCAGTGCCAGTAGATGTCAAGGGACTAAGGAAGTTCCTTGGTCTAGCGGCGTACTTGCACAAGTGCTCGCGCAACTACGCCGAGATGACGGTACATCTTTCTTGCTTGCTCAAAAAAATGTCAAGTGGTCATGGAACGCTGAGTGCCAGCATTCCTTTGAAGGTATCAAGCAAGGCTTGATGCAATCGCCCATCTTGGCGATTGCAGATCAGGACAGACCGTT